AAGGGCACCGAGCCCATTACGGTCCAGGGGTTCGAAGGCTGGGCCTCCAGAGGTTTCGACAGTCGCCCCAAGGCAACAGAGTCGGGGATGACCTTGGGGCGAGCCTACAAATGGCAGAGGCCCGAGCGAACGATCGCTCGATCGCTCGGGGCGTCCTAAGTCGTGTCCGAGACCGGCAGGGAAGTCTCCGAATGGGATCCCACTGTAGGGAGGCACCGAGCCATCGAGGCCCAGCGAACGGCCTCGGCACCCACTAGAGAAACCCTCTGGTACTCTTGGAGTGCGTCTCCAGACCGCTAGCCGACCCTTAGCGAACGGGGTTTGGGCCTCCACTCGGACTACCCGATAACAGCTCACCGGAAGTGCCCACGCTCGTGCCCATCGAGGGTAGCCTGGCACATTCCACCCCTCCTTCCTAGCAAAAAGGAAGCATGAGGGTCGTACCCAAAGTCAGGGGGATCCCTGACGGACCTCTCGCTCCATGCGGAGGCTAGAGGGCTTTTCCTGCAGCCTCGCCGAGACCCCCGCAACCTGAACTTGCGCTTGTGGGCTCGGCAAATGCGATAAAAACTCCTCGCTCAAACGCAAAAACAAAAAAAAAAGCCCCTAGAGGAGTAACTCCACTCCTCCAGGGCCTCGGGGGCTACACCCGGCGGGTGCGCTCGCGCGCACCCACCGGAACCACCAAGTACAAAACACAATCTCGACGAGAGCTGCTACGAGCCAAGTCTCGTCAAAACCTCGAGAGAGTGCCCGCACTCCTCCCAAGGCTCGGGGGCTACTGTCGGATACCACAAGAAGGGGTACCCTAAGCAAGAACCGAAAATATTGCTTAAGCCTTGCAAAAATCAAAGCCAAAGGACAACCATGAAGCCTTGGCCGAGGCCGAGCTCGTCCCGCATCCTCATCGCCTCCGCCTCAACCGTCCCTCTGGCGAGCCGTCACATCCGTTTAAATGCGCCTGGTCGCCCCTACTACGTCAGCCACGACTGACAGGGTACAGCAACAGGGGCGATGGGACAGCGGTCAAATCTCCTTTTTACCATCCCCTACTGACGGTGCAGGGGTTACCGTGCCCTGTGGACACACGCTCCGCACTTCTCCGCCTGAACCGGGTACGACGCTGACCACCGAGACCCCCGCATCATACACGGGTCACCTCCGAGGCCTCAGCAAAATAGGCCTCGGCACGATCAGCTACAGCACCCACCAGGCCTCGGCACTCCACCAAGTCAAAAACACACAAGGCACAGCATGTCTTCTACAGTGGAAGCCATACTGACTAGACGTCAACAAGGACTCCCATGACCTCAACAACCTCAGGCCTGGCCAGCACAGCGCGCCAGTCAAGTACCAATCGCCATCCCCTTGCGGTTATAAAAGGAAGCAGCCAGGGATAGCTCGGGGGACGAAAAAGGAGAAATAGGAAGAACACCTGGTAGCTCATAGACATACACATCCCAGCCGCCTGAGAGCAACGTCTCAAGCAGCCCACACGACACCTCGCCGAGACCTGGGACTAGCTCCCTCTCTCCCTGTACTTGTAACCCCCTACTACTAGCACTTCGGTGTAAGGAATACAAGATCGATCTCTCAGACTGGACGTAGGGCATCGATTGCCTGAACCAGTATAAACCTTGTGTCTCTTTGCATCACCATCCGGGATTAGGGGCACGCAGTTTAAATTCACTAGTTGGTAGAGGACCCCCGGTCCGAAACACCGACACATGCATATAGGTTCACCGATCACCGATAACGTGCCAGAGGCAAACCCGGAATACGTGGAGGTGGCCGAGGAGTACGAGGAGGATGTCCTCGTCATCAGTTTTCCTGAAGCCTTGACTACCGTTTCGTTCTCCGATTCCTGCCCAAGAGACCCGTTGCATAATCCATACTTTTTAGCACTTATTATGTTTATTTGCGCATTAAGTTTTGAGGAGAAAGATCTACACCATCTGATGTAGTTTTAAATAGAAGTAAAACTTATTTTTATTAAAATATGGATTAGTCAATGGTACAACTAATTATTTCGTGAACCAGAATTTTGGGTAGATTATTGTCTAATGAAATCTAAAAATGTATTTATATAATTCCCAACGAGGGCTGCGAGGTCTCCCATCACAATCATTGGCGGACAGACCAATCCTTGACACATTGACAAAAATGTTACGGAGGTTGATATGATGCGTCAAAAAAGCTACAAAGGTCAATATTGAGCCATAAAAACATATGGGTAGTATAAAAAATTAAAGTTATGATATATTTATATATAATAATTATGTGCTTTGCAACAGAAGGAAAAATATACCAAGATATATTTTAATTCGATATAGGTTTAATAGAACATTGTTATTTATTGTCAACATTAACTTATTTTATGGATGTGATGGTCATCATAAAATAAATTATAAAAGCATAATAAAACATAAGTAGATATGTACCATTCACGCTATCGTTTTGCATAAATGTTTAATAGTTTTTTTTCTTCTGTTGCAATGTACGGGCATATTTGCTAGTAAAGCTAATATAGGAAACTAATGGAGAGAGAAATAAATTGAGATTGCTACTTGTTTTTGTTAACTAACTAAACTTATTGGTTTGGCAAGTTAATTATAGGAAGCACCTGGAGTTGCTCTAATTGCAGGAGAGAGAGGGGCATGGCTCTCTAGTCCCTACATGGCTCTTTGTCACAAAATTTAGAAAACAAACAAAAAAAAATGCTCTAATAGACTCTATAAGTCACTCTTCATCTTTTCCGCTCTTCGAAAGCACCCTTCTCGCTCTCCACTTTTGAAGAGACTATACATGGCAGCATTATATTGGAAGGTTTGGAACTCTGGGACGGCCGGACGTGGGCAGGCATGGATGGTGGAATTGGAACTGGAACTCTCGGCAGTCGACTCGACTCTTCATGTGAGTAGCGTGGAAGTCTTGGGTAAGTAAGCTAGCTACACACCACACAGCCTCACCTGAGCAGCTAGCGCGACTCAGGTCGAGCTTTATTTGTTTTTTTCCTCTTTCATGTTCTTTTCTGCTTCAGTTCGAGAGAAAAAGAAGGCCAACGTCAGCGATGACGTAAGCTCGGTGTCTTATGTTTGCGTTTATTATTTGCCGTGCCGTTGGAGAGGAGATCGCGCCGTGATCGATTTCCGCACCCCGGCCGTCGCATCGCACCTATAGTTCTTTTTAGGTTCAAAATAGTGGTATAGTACGTGTTCATTTTTAGAGTGAAGGACAATGCCATCACCTAAATCTCTAATTACCAAATGATAAGGACCAACTCTCGGAAGCGTGGTTGAGGCAACGGGTGGGTTTGATAAAACTAGAATCACTTGGAGATCAATCAACAAGATCAACTAGCCTGAGGTTACTCTACGGGAGATCAATTAGCACCAGAGGTTACTCTATGGACTAGGATAACTCGGAGATCACTCCAGGAGATAGGAGGTTACCTACAAGTTTCTCAATGAAGAGCCATTCTCAATACTAAAAAATATCAAGTCTTAACCCTCCTTCAAACGACAGATTACACGAATTATTTATACTAGGAACATAACATAGGTATAAGTAAAAGCAAGTGGAAGATCATCTTGGTGTATAAATTGAAGAGCTCTCAGTTTTCTCCGCAACCACGAAACAAACATGAACAGCTTCCATTAACATAGCCATAACTCTTAGCTCGGAAGTCCAAATGATGCATTGTTTATTGCATTAGAAACTAGACTCACATATATTTCCACACTAATATAGCATATGAATGTTGAAACCTTCGAAATTAATGCCAACAAGCCATGGATTATAGCATTAATTTTGCACCCTTCTCATGACCTTATCAGTGATGTATAAGGTCTAATGCAAGCTAAGCCTAATACAGACAACCAGTGAGACACATGGGTCCCTATTTGGTAGAGCGGTAAAAAAATGCTTCTCTCAAAGGAGGTGCATAAATGAAGTAAAAGCGCAGTTAAAACAAACTGGTCTGATCTAGCGTTTTAGTACAAATAGGTGTTGTCGGAAAAAAATGTGGCTTAAAAAAACATATGGTTTAGCTTTTAGCCTTAGCTTATTTTAGCCATAGATAGCCGGGCTAAACATAGACTAACGACATATGCTCCATGCCGACCCTGCCTGTCGACACCAGAACCAAATGAAATCACGTTCCGCACTCTGCCAATAAATAGAACAGATTGGCTCAATAAGCTGCAGGTGTGGGTGCAAGCTATCCTAATCTCACGTATTTTGTTTTCTTGGCGGCAAGTCCTGCAGTAACCCGGAAGTCCGACAGGAACCTTGGGCGTACATTTGCGAGCCAATCCGACCATGTGCTACTGCCATCTACTCCCTCCATCACAAAAAGAAGGATGTTATGGGATACGTGCAAGACAAACTTTTTCAACTTTAATTAGATTTGTAAAAAATGCGTGCAACATTTTTTATCTCTAAATAAGTTTATTATAAAAGTACATTCAACTATCTATTTAATAATACTAATTATGTATTATAAATATTAATATTATTTTATATATAATTAGTCAAAATTAAAAAAAATTGACTTGTCAAAAAGCAAGAATAAGTTCTATTTTGACACAGAGTAAGCATGCGATAATAGATGCTAGTACTACAAAATGGAGCCTATGGCTTCCATGCGCGCTCTCCATTTCCGAGACGACGGCCACGTCCTTTGGCCGCCGTCACGGGGTCGTTGCGGCGGAGCCACGTCACGAGTCACGACATCAACCCCATGCATGCGTCCTCTGACTCTGACTCTCGGATCTTTGGCTCTCTTCTCAGTTCTGAACTTCTGATCGCCTGTATAAATCCTCCCCACGCCGGTGCAATCTTTCGCCTGTTGTCCTATCTACTCCTATCTAGCTAGATCATCCGTGTCAGGACTCTGAGAAGGAAAGGAGACGCCGCCGACGCCGACTATACCACAGCAGAGTGGTTCGTTGCTAGTAGTACAAGTGCTGTACTCTAGTCTAGTTTACTCTGAGTCGGCAATGGAGCACGACATCGCGCACGGTGACGGCGCTGTCCCGGCAGGCCAAGAAGCATTCGAGGTGGCTCAGGAGGTTGAGCAGGAGGAGTTCAGCGACTCTGAGTCGGGCTCCGAGTCCATTGAGATCTCCGACCTAAAGCGCCGCATGTGGAAGGACCAGATGCTGCTCAGCAAGCTGGAGGGGCGCGCGGGTACCTTCAGGGCCGCCGGCGGGGCGGGCCCGTCGTCCAGGCCGCTTGCGCCACCGACGGCGGACGCGGACGGGGAGGAGGAGGAGGAGAACCCCGAGGTGCGGTGCCGGCGGAAGGCGATGCTCCGCGCGCAGGACGGCGTCCTCCGCCACATGCTCAAGATGATGGAGGCCTGCAACGCGCGCGGGTTCGTGTACGGCTTCATCGACGAGGCCGGCGAGCCCATGTCCGGCTCCTCCGACAGCCTCCGCGGGTGGTGGAAGGACAACGTCAGCTTCGACCGGTCGGGGCCCATGGCGCTCCCGGCCCCGACCGGCGAGAGCCCGCTGGGGGCCGCGTCCTGCATCCACCGCCTCCAGGACATCCAGGACAGCACGCTGGGGTCCGTGCTCTCGGCGCTCATCCAGCACTGCGTGCCGCCGCAGCGGAGCTTCCCGCTGGAGCGCGGGCTGGCGCCGCCATGGTGGCCCACGGGGGAGGAGGCCTGGTGGGGCGCCCAGGGCGAGGTCCAGGCGCACCAGGGCGTGCCGCCGTACCGGAAGCCGCACGACCTCAAGAAGGCGTGGAAGATCTCGCTGCTGAGCGCGGTGATGAAGCACATGAGCCCGCGCTTCGACCAGATGCGCAAGCTCGTGTGGCAGTCCAAGCGGCTGCAGCAGAAGATGAGCGCCAAGGAGACGGAGACGTGGTCCAAGATCCTGCGCCAGGAGGAGACGCTCAGCCGCCGCCTCAAGAGCTCGCTCAAGATCACGCCCCTCGACGGCGACGGCGGCGGCGACGACGAGGCGGAGGAGGACCGAGACGGCCTGGAGGACGTAGTCCGCGGTGTGCACGACAAGCGCAAGCGCGAGCTAATCAGTACAGGAGATGACAGCGGGCGGAGCAGCGGCGGCGGCGAGGGCGGGGAGCTGCTGGTGGCCGGCCTCGTGGCGGATGAGAAGAACCTTAGCCCGGTCGACGAGCTCCTGAAGCGTTACTACAGCTGCGTGCCTGATCAGCACGAGAGCTTCGTCGTCGCGCCGGAGGACGAAGCAGGCGTCATGACGATGCCTCTCGGAGAGCTGGACCTGTGCGGCGTCGTCGACGAGGTGCCGCCGGACGTGCTGTTCGATCTCATCGCGAGCTGCTCGGGAGCGGACGACGCGTTCCGCCTGATGCAGCAGGACTGAGCAGTGACTCAGCTTGATTGTTGATCCACGCGTCGCTGCGCGATAGGCCTGCTTGGGCGGGGGGAATGACGTGGCGCGTGGCTGATGGATGCATGTTAGTGCAAGTGCAATGATACAGCCCGCTGCCGGCGAAATAAACTCCAGCCTGGCTTCCATTAAATGTAGCAGTGGCAGCCAGCAGTGGCAGCCAGCAGCACGTTGCACCCAATGCGGAGCCTGCACAGCAGCAGAGCAGCCAATAAAAACGCAGCACACGCGTATCCATCCGCTCCAAGCCGACGTTTTACGAGACGCCCGCTCCGCACTCTCTCTCATGTTCTCTCTCTGCCAGCAGGGATTCAACTGGCTTGCAGCCAGCCATAATACTTGCTCTTAGCTAGTCAAAGTGCGTCTAGGTACTATGCTTGTTTGCGTTCCATTTCTTCTGAGCTTATCGCGATGGGACTTGTGACGGTGAGTCGTCTGTGACCTGTGACTGGGTGGGGATAGTAGCTTGAGTAATCAAAAAGACAAATCGTGCGAGCTTGAAAACGCCAATCGGGGTAAATTCATGACGAACACATCGGATCTGAAATCTGAAATTGCTAAATTTGATTCGCATAAGTTCAACAGAAGATCTTGGTCAAAAAATTATGCCCCTACTGTTTTCCGTCACAACACAATGATGTTCAACGGTCCCGTATAAAAAAAAATCACTAGCGCCCGAACGTCTGGACGAACGTCCGAGAGTGCACCCTGTTTCCCATGCCCACGCGAGGCCCGCGCCATCCGAACATCGCCCGCACTGCTTGACCACACGCGGGGGCTGTCTATGGCTGCTCGGTGATGCCCAGCAGCTGCAGCAGGTGGCTGCGGCACTCGATCTACTTTTGTAACATCCAATGACACAGTTGAAACACTTGCAACATTCATTTAAATTTTATAACACTTGCACAACACCAGAAAAAATTTAAAAATACGTGTGTAGCCATTACAAACATAGCAAACATCTAGATGAAACACTTGCAATATACGTATTAAAACACCTGAAACACCTACATATATATGCGATATCCAAATAAAACACATGCAATATACGTCTGAAACAGATAAAACTTTTGAAACATACACTTGAAACATACTTGTATAGCCATTGTAACATGTGGAACATCCCGATCTACTTTTGCAACAACTATATAAAGTACTTGCAACATATCTCTGAAAGTTATGAAACACTCGAAACATACGCTTGTAACATGTGCTTTCAGCGCAATATCACCTTGCTGCTTGGACAATTGGAGGCTCGTCGTTGTGGAGCTCGACGCCGACGCGAAGGTCGGCGACGACACATGGAGCTCGCGACGGCACAGGCAACTCGCCGGCGGGGTAGCGTCACACGATGCCTGCTTGCTGGAGCATCCATTATGGAGGCTCGCCGGCTCAGTGGAGCGGCCGCGGCGGGCGACACGATGGAGGCGGAGTGGGGAAGGCGGGCGGCGCGGTGAAGGCGGGTGGCATGGTAGGGGCATAGTGCAGTAGAGAGATTTTTTAAGCGTCTATCTATCCGGACGCCCTGGCCCCAGCATTACCGGTAAGAGCCCGTCATATTCCCTATGTATAATGCACAGTCGAGGAACATAGACTGTGTTTAATTTATGACTTCGGTGTGCAAAGCCAAATTTTAGTCATTGATAAATTGGGGCAGTTACAAAATCCGATTTTAAAAAATAACTTTTGGTTTGTAAAAAAGCTAAAATTTGACCAATACCAAAATCTGTAGTGGTCACGGAAGTTTATAGGTAGCCATGCTAAATTTTGTTAAGGTTACGATTATGACATGTAAGGTTCATATATGTCATTTTTTCCTTTTTAGGGAATTATTATAGTTATGTGGGATCTTGTGTCTAACATAAAAACACAAGGAATATTATGGTGAAAACAGGATATATTATTGTCGGATATCGATATTAGGAACACCCGAAAGAAGGAGACTAATGGCCACGAACAACTAACTCGTTCGACCCCGAGGGCGCGGGCTTCGTCTTGTCCGACCCCGAGGGTACGGACTCCGTCTCGTCCGACCCCGAGGGCACGAGCTCTGTCTCGTCCGACCCCTCGAGGGGGGAGCTCACCTCGCTCGACTCCTCGAGGGGGGATTCTGCCTCGCCTGACCCTAAGGGAATAGATTCAGTCTTGGGCGGGTGCATAGGCCCCACGGGGCCCGCACCATCTCCAACCACTATGGGTATAAGAGTACGGACCCGGGGTCAAATTCTGACACCAGAAAGAGAGTGGGCACATTTTGACGTGACCCGTGGCCACGACGAGCCATACTTGGGAGCTCACGTCGCCGACAGCGTCGAGTAGGCCAACACTGTGCTGCCTAACCCCCCGCACGACTTCCGTCAGGGGTACCTGTTGACCATGCTGCCCGTCGGGACGAAATGGGCCGCCACAACCTGCTGACGACGCCCGCGTGTAGCGCCAGTGGCGAACAGGGTCGCGACATGGAGCCATCCCCGTCATCTTCTACAGGACTGGCGGGACCCATGTAGGCGGATGAAGGATGACACAACCCTAGAGGCCCTCTTCCTCCTCGCTTCTCTCTCCCTCTCTCTCTTTCTATTTCTTTCGTGTAACCTGCGCCTTCCCCTTCCCCTATAAAAGGGGAAGCAGGACGCCCCGTGGGGGAGGACTCAGTTCAACTAGACTCAACTCCATTCGATCCTTCCATAAGAGATTTGGGAACTTCTCCCTCTCTCGCCCGTTTTAACCCCTACTACAAACAAGTGCCGGTAACACGAGTAGCCTCGAACTGAACGTAGGGACATTATGCCCAAACCAGTATAAACCCTTGTGTTCTTCGAGCACACCATCCGGGCCAGACGCGCAAACACAAATTTACTAGTTGGCGTTTCGAAACACCGACAGTTGGTGCCCCAGGTAGGGGCCTTTTGCTTGTCTTGTCATCGACAACAGGCCACGGATGGCTAGCCACGGCGTCAGCTGGGTCCCGGGCCCACACGTGTGCTTCGGGAGCCTGGATTTCTTTGTTACTATGGAGGGAGAGCTGGCGCGGGCTCCCGCCCCCGTCCAACTTCTTCGCTCCACCGGCCTCGACGCAACCATCAAGGCCCTCGAAGAGCTACAGCTGCACGTCTCAGAGGCCCATGCCCCCCAGGAGCGACCAACTCCTCGGCTTTGATTACGGGAGGCTGGAGCGCTAGCTCGACGCCTTCCTAGGACCCCGACCATCCTGGGAGGACCTGTGTTGCCTCACCTTCTTGTTCACCAACGTCATGACACAGCTTGCCGGAGGGAAACCACTCTCCCCGGAATATCTCACCCGGAGCACCCCGACAGCGTTCCTGTTTGGTCGGCGTAACGCCGCAAGGACAATTGGTCACCTCACGGCACAGCGCATGCACCCGTCCCCCACGAATGACGAATTCGTGGGTATAAGGGACTATGTCAAGGAATCTTTTCATGACCTTCTCTTGGGAGATTCAGAGACGATGTCCGACTTTGACTCCAGCAGGGGAAGCCATCACCCCTCACGAGAATGCTTCATGGCAGGCACCCCCGAGGGTGTGTCGATAGCGTCCACAAGGGAGGGGCTACTCCTACGAATGACACTGACGACGATGTCGAGGGAGATGCAGGAGCCCCGCCTCGCCTACGGGTAGATTAGCTAAGGGCACGACACAAGTAGATCAAGGATGCGTGACTCCAGCTGGAGCAGTAGCATGTGGAGCTTGAGCGTGAGATTGAACGCCACGGAGACGGTAGCCGTGCGCGCGCCATTGCCCATGACATAAACCGGAGGATTATCAAGGATGATGAAGGCCTCCTGCACTTCGCCAGGGCAAGCCAGAAGATAGCTGCCGTGAAGGCCTTGCTCCGAGGGCTCCTGGAGCCCACGACACCCGAAGACCGTCGGGCCCATCACGAGATCTACACGCTGCTCTAGCACGCGGTGATGCAACAGGCGGAAAGCTCACTGTCTCGGCGATGTGATCTCAATGCTAGTCAGCGTGCGTCTTCAAGACAACATGGCCGGGACATATCCGTCCATGAGGCACCACACAACAACGAGGGGCTTGCCATGGTCCCGGTGCATGAGCGTCTCAGCCCCAATTGTGATGCATGTAATACCCTAGACGCACGTAGGCGCGGATAGGGGGACAAGAGAGAGGAGGCCGGCCGCGGCTACCACCCTCGTTGTGGCAGACGCTATGACAGCGGCGAGGACCCAAGCTTTTGGCTGGCACATCATCAACGTGGCTTTCCCGCTGTGTTATCGACCACCAACCAACATCCCAAAATACTCTAGGGAAACGAACCCTGGCCTATGGCTCAAGGATTACCGGCTTACTTGTTAAGCCGGTGGTGTAGATAGTGATTACTTCATTATCCGCAACCTCCCCTTGTTCCTGGCCGATTCGGCATGAACATGGATGGAGCACCTTCCGCCCAACTGGTTCAAAGCTGGACGAACCTGAAAGAGATCTTTGTGGAAAATTTCCAGGGCACTTACGTGCGCCTTGGGAACCCCTAGGATCTAAAGAATTGCCAATAGAAGTCCAGGGAAACTCTTTGTGAGTAAATCCGATACTTCTCCAGGCAATGCAATGAGTTGCCCGACGTCGCCGATGTTGACATCATTGGAGCCTTCCTGTCTAGGACCACCTACGAGCCCTTGGTTCACAAGCTGGGATGCAAGGGACCTCGAACCACCATGGAGCTCCTCGACATTGTGACCTACCATGCCTCAGGCAAGGAGGCGCTTGGAGTGATTTTTGACCGCCCCAAGGGCAAAGCAAAGCGGGACGAGGACACCGGCCAGGGTGCCTCCAACCGCCTGAACAAGAAGATGAACAAGTAGCGACATGGGGGCTCGCTAGTGGTCGCTACCGAGTGGAAAGGCGGCCAGGCGCCCGTCGAGGGTGCTCCTGACCACTTCGAGAAGCTACTTGAGGGGCCGTGCCTGAACCACGCCTTTCCCGTCAAGCACCTGTACA